AAAGGGGCCCGGGGTGGGGAGAGGGAGAGGGGGGTGGGGGCTCCCCCCAGCACCTCTCCCCCTCCCCCGCAAAACCTACCCTTGCGGCCCGCAGCTGTTTTCTTTGGAGAAATATGGCCCTCACCGCTTTCCGAATTGTGCAGGCCTGCTGTAGGCCAGGGTGGGGCATGATAGGAGCCAGAGAGTGGCTGAGTGTGCTCCAGCCCAGCCTTTGGGCAAGGTTGCCTTGAGCCCCGCGCTGCCCGGCTCCCGGCCCCACCGGCTGAGTTAGCTGCTGGGAAAACCCCAGCTCTGTCAATAGAAGGCGGTGGGAAGTTGGCACAAGCAGTGCAAAGACACGGGGGTTTGCACAAGAGAGGGTCTGCTGGTGATTTGTGGTGGAAGAAGGGGCCTGGGCAAGGACGTCCCACATCACCTTTGCACCCTTCTTATGCTGGGTCACTCCAGGGCATCCAGTTTATGCTGAGTTAGCTGCTGGGAAAACCCCAGCTCTGTCAATAGAAGGCGGTGGGAAGTTGGCACAAGCAGTGCAAAGACACGGGGGTTTGCACAAGAGAGGGTCTGCTGGTGATTTGTGGTGGAAGAAGGGGCCTGGGCAAGGACGTCCCACATCACCTTTGCACCCTTCTTATGCTGGGTCACTCCAGGGCATCCAGTTTATGTGGCCAGCCCCAGAGGCCTGTCTAAATTACAGCAACCGGCAAGGGCTACCTGCCTGGAATCTCGGCAGAGGCCTTGCCCCAGCTAGGCCCCTTCTGTCCCACTCCATCCCCACACCCAGTGTGGTTCCTATGCCAGCGGTCACCAAGGGATCCCCAGAAAGCAACTTTATTCCCTCAGTGCTTGGTAGGGTTGCCAGATGGTTGAAACGAAAATACCAACCACCCCCCCCAAAAAAAACATTCTGTTGAAGGGGGAAAAAAAAGGAGGGAAGACCAAAAGTTGTTGAGCAAAAAAAAAGGACTCCAAGAACTTAAGCCAAAAAATAAAATAGCATGCTCCGGGGTTGAGCACTAAGACCCTGAGGAAAGCATTGCTTCCCCTAGGTCTTTTGGCAGGCAGACATTTTGTGCCGGCAGCCTTGGGGAGCCAGGTAAGCATGGGGGTTGGGGGGGCGTGGGTGCTGGCGCTGAATATTTCTAGGGTTGCCAGGTGCCCGGCACTTTTGCCTCCTGGCTGGGGAAAAATTCAGAAAATATTGGACATTTTTTACCGGGCAGGAACCGAAAATCCCGGACAGTCCGGGTGAATATTGGAAACCTGGCAACCCTAGGGGCCTGAGGGAATCCTCCGTGGCCAGATACCCGACATAAAGAGTCCAGGAGAGAGCTGCTGATCTCCTCCCTGAGCTACTCCTGTGCTCATGGATTTAGGGGACAATCGTGGCTAAAGCAGGTCGTTGTTTTCGGGTGGAAGTGTGACTAAAAAAAAATTGTATTATGAACTTTTATAAAAATCAAGGTCTGCCTCCCCCAGTCAAGCACCAGATCCCTGGCCGAGGTAAATCAGCATAATCAACCCAGCTCCTTTGCTTTACGCCCATTGAGGGTCTGGCCCAGGGTGTATTTCCATGCCTGCTGACGGTGTTGTCTGAGTAAATAAGTCCCGGACCATGAGGTTCCAGATGAACGCAGCCCCGTTAAGGTGGTGGCTAGAGCGAGGGGGAATATTTCCAGATGAAGAGGGCTTCCTTGGAACATGCTGTTTCATTAAGCTAGATATTTTCCACAGGAACATGGCCTGTTTTGATTCTTTTTTTTAAAATTGAAATGGACCTTTTTGGCCTTATTGGAATAGAAGGTTTGGATTTTTCATTTAGAAATAAAGTAGCGGTTTGGAAGGCATTTAACTGATCATTAGGTTATAGAGAGAGCGGCCAAATGAAAAGTCAAGATGAGGAAGAACATGGATTCCGCTTTTGTCCATAGAATGTTTCAATTTGCCTCAGCGTTCCCCACAGGACTTTCAAAATGGTGGCATTTCGCAAGGAATGGAAATGCCACCTCTTCGCCAGTTCTCGAGCTGCCTCAGTGACCCTATTGCCCGTCGTCATGTAGCCCCATTACCTCAGGGGCAAACTGCCGTCTGACATGGCCACTCACCAGTAGGGTTGCCAGATGGTGTAACCAAAAATACCAAACAACTCCCCCTGACCGTGGAAAAAATTCTATTGGGGAAAAAAGGGGGAGACCAAAGTTGTTGAGAAAAAAAAAGGACCTCAAGAGTTAAGCAAAAAAATAAAACAGCATTAAAACAGCTTTAAGTGCGTGCAGAGTCAGAATAGGGATAGCAAGAGGGGAGCGGTTGAGCACTAAGGCCCAGGGAAGGCATTGCTTCCCCTTGCTTCAGTTCTTTAGGCTTTTTGCTGCGGCCATTTTGTTTTCTTGATAGAGACTGAATGTAGTTTCCCTGCGGAACCAGATAAACGGGGGTCCTGGGGTGGGGAGCAGTCCGGGGGCTGGGCCCAGTTGCTGAGTGTGTTGTAGGGTTGCCAGGTGTCCAGTATTTTTGCCTCCTGGCTTGGAAAAAAAATCAGAAAATACCGGACATTTCAAGTGTCTGGTATTTTCTGATTTTTTTTTTATGGGACAGGAGGTGAAAATACCGGACTATCTGGGTCAATACCGGACACCTGGCAACCCTACTCACCAGAGGCAAGGGGGGTGGACCTGCTGCCTTTGCCTACCCTGGCTGCCTCTCTGCAGCTCTAGTATCCCTCAGGCCACGGTGAGCCCCCCCTGCCTTTCCCCAGCTCTGCTCTGTCCATGGCACCCTGACTAGCCGGCAGCTAGGTCCTTCCGCATGCTCAGCTTCGCCAGCCATCTCTTTTATACAGCCCTCCTGGGCTCTGATTGGCTGCTGCAAGGCCTCTTGTAATTGAAGCCCTAGCTACAGCCGTCCCCCCAGGGCGATTTTAACTCTTTTTATGCCTGTCGCGGGGTGACCCACCCTGCTAGAGGGTTGGCATGTCTTTTATCAACAGAAGTTGAGCCTATGAGAAATTTATGGCGTATAGCAGGGCTGAGCAAGATGTGGCCTGGGGGGCGGATCCGACCCTTGGACTGAATCTGGCCGCTTTCTATTTATATCCTCCTGTCCGGGCCACTGAATTTCCAGGCGGTGGCTCAGGCAACAAGATCCTATTTAAATGGCTCATGGTGATACCCCAGCAACAGCCCTTTAAATAGCTGCAGCAATCCCAGGCACTTGCCAAGCAACAAGACAGAGGCAGGGCCGGGAGCCGTGAGCCCTTTGCTGTGTTTTTCATTCAAAGCCTCCAGCCCCAGACAAGTCTGGGGGGTGGCTAGTCCCCAGCCCTGCCCCTTCCACCCCAGGCCCCACCCCTTCCAGGGGTGGGGTGGAGGTGGAGCTGGTCCAAGACCATGTACCAAAATTTATTCAGTGGCCTCCCTGAGAAAATGATTGCCCACCCTTGGCATGTCAGGTTTCCGTGGAGCTTTGTAGGAAGTGCGGACATTATGTATGGTTGAGTTTCACTGTTCCAGCATCAT